TTTAAAGAAATTGATTTCTGAGACAAACTGTCGAACATAGCAGAGATAAATAAATCTAGGTCATGTGTACAGCCAAATCCTGGTGTGAAACTTTCCAGATTCTGCAGGGAGGTTAGGTTTTGGGGCAGTATATGTTGCCACCGGGTAGTAGCACTGACGTGCGTCGATGGGATCATGACCAAAGAGGTTTACCTGGATTTGCTAGAAATAAATCTTAGGCAATTCACAACGAAGACTGACTTTTATCCGAGATTTATTTTGAAAAATGTCGGATATTAGACAAATATTACAAAAATCATCTCAAAATGCCTCAAGGACAATAATACAAAGCTTTTGGACTGGACATTCAAATTTATTGACTTCAACTCGATTGAGCATAGCCCAAAAACACTGCAGCGTCTGGTTGCGACACCAAAACCGAGAAGCATGGCTCCCCGGCAAACCGTCATCACAGAAAAGTTAAGAAACATCAATCGTAGCGTAACCGAAAGGTTGGTGGGTTAGATGCACAGACGATTTCAATCAGCTATTGAAGTTTGACAAGATATTGAACCGATCACACCCCCGTAGCATTAATTATGTAACGTGCAATTCGCAATATTTTAACGTTAAAATATTTGTGGATTCAACAGTTTTATTTCCATCCGTTCGAAAATTTGCCTCAATGTAGTCCAATATATGGTGAATAATCGGTATGAAAACAATTTTGAAATATCTACCTGTTCTTGGGAAAATTGAAATTGAGTTTGAAATCAAAAATCGTAGCATTAAATAAGTTACATACTGTATATATATGTAATTTAATACTTGCAATACTTACATACATATGTAATACATATTATGTATACCTACTCAAGAGAGGATAATAATACTCCCCAATATGCATACTGTATGAAATTTATCTATAGATATAACCATTTTAGTAATCCGATCCGATCCGAAATCCGTCGGATTGATCCGAATCGGATCGGATTGGTCGGTCAATCCGCCTCGGATCAATCCGATACCCGGATTAATCCGAGTCGGATTGATCCGATGACCCCAAAATCCGATCCGATCCGATCCGAACCCATTCCTAGTAGCAACCCAAAAAGTCCTGTTTTGATGGAAAAACGCCAGCGTGCACGCTCGCTACCTGCTCGGGTCATGTACATAACTCCGTGCAAAAGAAGGTGAGCGCGCGTGCACGCTGATCAAAACAGGACTTTTTGGGTTGCTACCTTATAACCCATTCGACTGATGATAATGGATAACATTGGGGCTTCCCACAAGACGGGCCAAGACAAGAGTATACGTCTTGTCTCGTCTTGTTAAAATCTGCGGGACGAAATATCAAGACAAGACGGGACGACAAGCTGTCCCGTCTTGTCTTGCGTCCCGTCTTGCCCGTCCCGTGCAAGACGGGACAACACGGGACGCACATGGTTTAAATGGGTTGAATTTTAAATCCATTCACATAATTTAAGTTCGCTTCAGGATGCATGATACAAATTGTTTTTACTAATTACAGAATAACTTAACCAAGGTTTCGACTGGTAAAAATCACATTACACTGGAGGTGGGAAAAAGACCTTTGCCATCCCAAAAACGGAAAATCTCTGTTTTGGTTTGACCGGAAACTGCTTGTTTGGAAATTTATTTTCTCAAGACTTGACTTCATGTTCGTATTGTACAAAAAATTCTAACTTCTAAATTCTATTTCATGATAACGGATTAGATAAAGCTATCCGAAAAATATTTGATGGTTTGGTTCAATCGAATTCCCAATTTAAGGGAATTACAATTTCACTCAAGTTATATTTTACTGCACAAATACTACCGTTGTGCTAAGCTTTATATTCAATTTTAATGAATTCCGAGACGAAAGTATCATATTAAAATGGTCGCAAGACCATCAGTCTTGCCGAGACAAGACGGGACAAGACGTTGTTTGTCCCGTCCCGTGTCCTGTCTTGCTTGCCAAAACGCGGGACGTAAATTTCCGTCTTGTCCCGTCTTGTTATCCCGTCCTGAAGTATTCAGGTCAAGACAAGACAAGACTGTCCTGTCTTGTGGGAAGCCCTAGATAACATTGCCACACGATATTAAAATTTTATTACCGGATTTTTAAGAGTGTATTTAGTTTAAACAAGAACGTTCCTGCCGAAACGAAAATTATCCAGAATAACTAAAGTATTGCTTGCCTCATTGGAAAGAGTTCCAATCAGGCAAGCAATATTTTTCATTAGATTGGTAGCATTAGCGAATGTACCTAGTAGTGCCATATGTAATGTACAATGCATTTCGCTCGAAGATAAAATTAGTTAGAGTTGGTTTAGAGTTGTACTATTTTTTATTGAAATCCCCGTGCACTTGTCCATCAGAAACCATGTTTCAAAGTTTTTTATAACCCAATGTGGCAAAATGATAGCTCGGCAAGAACAGCATGTTGCAATTTTTGAGCAACATTTTTGTAAACAAACAAAATCGTCATTTTTCAATTGATCAATAAAAATCGAAACTGATCACAAGCTGGTCGACCGTACCATACAATGATGCGCTGACACCGACAGTGTTGAAAACCTAAAAACAAGCCCAACGGAACGGCATCGGCCCCGGCTACGGCTTCCATGGGGGACGTGGGCAGATCCCACGGTCCGTGGATACCCCCCGCCCAACAACCTTCAACTGTCTGCTTCCGCATGCAGACGCCACCCTCATTTGGATATCACCAGCACCCCACGGAATCCTCCTATGTATCACTGCCATACATTTTCCTACCTGGTGTCCAGTTTGGGCCACCTTCCCAATACATGTTGAGGTTTTCCGAACTATCGGTTTTCCCTTTACACCCTTGCTACTGTTGCTATATACATATTATCATTAGATTGTAGCCTATAATATTATTATGGTGTGTGATTAGCCTTATTGGGATGCCGTGTGCTACTTGTGGATCATGCCCACAACTGAGCACACAGTACTGAGTTAAGCCTCACGCTCGGAGGAGAAGTTGGAGTTGGGGCAGTCTTCCCAGTTTCATCCTTCTCTCTCGCTTTGCGTAATACATTGAATCGCATCTCGAAAATCTCGAAACTTCGCATCGGCCCTGTGGGGGGGAGGAGTGGACCTCAGGGAAATGCATCCTCCGGTGTTTAGAATTTGCTTTTCTGCGTCTGATGGTATTTTTTTCAAATTTTTTGAACTGGCGCAAGGTACTCTTATGCCCCTTACCATCAAGTGATGTAACCTTATGTAGACTGGCAAGGGGCATAAGAGTACCTTGCGCCAGTCCAAAAAATTTGAAAAAAATACCATCAGACGCAGAAAAGCAAATTCTAAACACCGGAGGATGCATTTCCCTGAGGTCCACTCCTCCCCCCCACAGGGTCGATGCGAAGTTTCGAGATAGGCGATTCAATGCATTACGCAAAGCGAGAGAGAAGGATGAAACTGGGAAGACTGCCCCAACTCCAACTTCTCCGAGCGTGAGGGTAAGCCTTAAAGAACTTAATTTATGCTGGTTTCAATTGCATAGTGAGTTGATCTGAATCCATTCCAACCCTCTAGTTATTACATATTCTAACGTTTTCTTAGACATTTAGTCATTTTACCTAGGGTCTGTTTTTCCATTTCAAAACTCTTTTTACCAGAAAAGGAGAGAAACAGTGGTGAAGGTGAGAAAAGGGCATAGTGATGGGTAACCTCACAAGGCCTCTCGGAAAAAAAGTGAGGCCTACGACCTCTCATGCCGAGGAAGCCCAAGGCCTTTGCCTCACAATTTAAGCCTAGGCCTCTGGTCAGAGGCTATAGGCCTCAGAGAGATCGGCCTCTCCATTTAAAAGTGAAGCCAACGACCTCACACAGCCTCGACCTCGGCCTCACATCGGGAATCTTAAGCGTCAATGAGGCAGGTCTCGGCCTGTCTAGTTTTCAAAATATAGGCTTCAGACCTCCCTGGGTTCGACCTCAATATCCTCAAAGACCCCAAGGCTTCCCATCACTGTTTAGGCCCTTGTATGTATTTTTCTTTGAGAAATCCACATTTTTGTACCTCAAATTTGTACCTTGGTGAATTTCGCCTAGTTTAACCTATTATCTTCCTTTTGGCGTGTCTTTACCATTTTATTACTTTGAAGGTGTGAAGAAAACACTTCCAACTGATTGACAAATAATCTGATTTATTCACCAGCTGCGACCGGTTTCGCCATAAAGTACAGCTTCTTCAGGCTACGAAATTATAGAAAATTACAAAATAATTAATATAAAATAACATAAAGTGAATTAAATTTCCAATTAAGTTTGAATATAAAAGTATATACATATGTATATGCACATGCATATTCACACGCCATTATAATAAGTGTAATTGTGTTCTTAAATAATCTGGTAAAATTAAAGACTTTAGTAAGTTTTGTAACAGAATTTCAAAAATTACTTGCTGAGTGACTTGTTATAGTTTGTTTTTAAATGTTTATAAGTTGTTTACAAGTTTCTTAAACTTTTTTTGGGCAAATATTTTTTTCATATGTAACGCACATTATTATTCATGACGACATTAATGACGACATTAATATTCGTGACATGATTTAAGATTATTATACACATATTAATTATTATATATTAAGTAAATTTCAAAAATTTCTCGAACTCAGAGCATTGCTAAGAACTTTGATATGTTCCCAAAGTTATGAACTTTAATCTTATGCAGACATCAAGTATGTACTTCAATTTTTAGAAATGTTAATTTTTAAAGATGTTTAAAATGTCAAACTCATGCCGGTATTTTTTAGTGAAGCAAATTCCTAGTAGCAAAAAAGGGCTAAGAATTGATAGGCCTGAGGTAGTTACATATCTCGGATTTTGACCTGACTAATTTTAAATTGTTCACGCTCAGAAATAAACAAGAGGAACTACATTTTTCCGCTTCCAGTTCGCTTGTGGCGGAATTTTAAAATAAAATTACAGCCAAAATCAGGATTTTTTCAAAACGCTCTAAGTTTTCGAACCATTCTAAAACAGTTTTAATTTTCAATGTTTTCTGCATGTTTAATGATTTTGAAAGTTTTTAAAAATGAATTTTAATAATTACAGGGGAGTAATTCTGAGCAAGAATCGTGCTTAACTTTTGAAATCGGGTTAAAATTCGAAAAGTGTATTTAATAAATTTAATAATTCCTTGAAAGGCGAAAATACAACACACATTCTAGAAAACCCATAAATACTGGTCCGTTGATTTTGATGCTTCAACAATACTAATTAGTCTGATCGAGAAAGAGATAATCACCTTACATCTATGCTCTGTAACCCCAAGTTAATAACATACATAATTCGATTTCTCGGTCATTTATCTAGCGATTTTGGTTAAGTTTTGAATTTGAAGGCCAATAGGAAAAATATATGAAAAATGTGATCTTCCCATTTTCCTGCTAATGTGAGTTTCTACCAGTCCAAACCCTGGTTTTGACCGGACTTTTATTAAATTTTAATGGTTATAAAAAAAGGCCGTACAATTGTTCAAAAATCCAGGCCCCTCATTGGCTTGTCGCGGCACTGCATACAAGACTATGAAAAAGGATATATGATATGTAAGCATACAGTAGCCTACAAAATCAATTATTACGTTAATCCAAAAATAAATGAACAATTACACATTGACAAACTCATCACTCATTCCTAGGCTCCGTGAACAATTTATACAACTAATCCATCCCTTCCCAATTAATTTAATACACATAAACGTGTACATATGCCACTGCACACGCCGTAAAACAAACCGGAAACAAGATCCTGCACACCTTATCCAACTTCCTCCCGAAACAATCATACCTCACATTTTTATCCTCCTTCTCCCCACCCCCTTTATCACATCCAATCGCAAACACCTTATTCCCCTGAGTAAGAAACGTAACCGTCGCCGTCTCCAAAATCGAAAGCACGGCAAACACCATGCAAAATCCGGCCCACACATCGACCGCTTTAATGTACGAGACTTGCGGTAAAGTTTGATTCGCACCTTGAATCTGTGTCGTCATTGTGAGCAGCAAGGTCACCGTAAGGGAAACCCTCGTACTGATCGATGGCCCGAGCCAGAACGAAATCCAACTCAGCACCACAAACATGGTGGTTGGCAGGTAGATAAAGAGCATGTACGCGGTCGAGTGGCGACGAAGGTGGAAATCGGCAATGATATGGCTGAATTCGCCGACTTTGGTTGGATTCAGACTTCCAACGGATGTTTTAACGGCCTCCAAAGTAAAGCGGGAATAGGGGAGATTCTTGGATTCGCGAAGATCGACTGGATCCTCGCCATCCCAGGCGAGCATGATATCCGAAGAAGTTCCGGAGTAGTCGGAAATTTGAATGGAGCAGATCTGCTTGTCGAAAGGGAAGTAGGTGAGGTCCATTTCGCAGGCGAATGTGACGGTGAGTCTGGTACTCCAGACGACCTTTCCTGTGGAGTAGACGCGTTTGTAGCTGTTGGTTTTAAAGGTGGTGTGGACTGAGGAGGTGGCTTCGTTCATGAAAAATAAGGCGGGTGTCCCTATGCAAGTGAAAAGTGACCTTTTTAACTTAAAAAATCCGTGGAAAAATTTAAAAAACTACAGGACAGAACGAAGTGTTTAATTTATTGCCACACAAGGACAAAAGGAACCAATTTCAGCAACTTTCACTTATCCCCCGATTTAAGCCGGAATATTAAACGGAAAACTCGGCCTAAGTTGGTTTAATCCAGAATTGAGTCGGATGGACATTTTTTCGGATCCGAACTGAATCTTAATTTTTCTGTTGAAAAATTATCCAAACCGAACCGAATGATTCGGATTCGGCTCGGATGTACACTTTATCCGAAAGTCCGATAACCGCCGCAACTCTGGTTTAATCCATAAGCCGGGTTTAAGCTTTATCCTGAATTCGGGCCTAGGAAATTAAATTGGTTTTAAAATCCTTACAAATTTTGTCTCCCATTTCGTTCAACGTGATATACTCTCCTGGACTGGAACCTTCAAACCTCAATCGATGGTCTTGCCAAGTTTGACGGAAGGTAAGTTGTGCGACAAATTCCATTTTTAAATCGTCTATTCGATAAATCTTTCGAATTGCTATATTCACTTTTACCAAGGTGGCATTGTTTCCGAGGATTTTAGATTCTGTCTCATTCGGTAGAGGGCGGACGTCTTTAGAATAATCGGGACCGTTTAAAACATCCAGCACGGGATGATTCGAGAGGGGAAGATTCGCAAATATCAAAGGTATAGTAAATATCAGTAAGACAAGCGAGAAATGCATTTTCCACGGAAATATCAAGGCAAAAACATTCAACACGAAACACACAGTCAGGCAGTTTGTCTAAGGATAAGAATCTACTGGAGTGAGTGATAAGAAATATTTATGTCTCTGACATTTAATAATTTTCAATTATCTAGATTAATTGAATAATTTATAGCAGTTAGGAAATAATTTGGCTGGCTGATGAGTTTATCGAATCGATTAAAGTATCTATTTTAGGCTGTGTATATTTGCTCAATAATATTATGACATTTAAGTAATTGGATGTATGTAAGTATGTGTGTAGGTAGAGTAAAGCATGTTTATTTCCCTATCGCAACATGTTAACAATCTGTTGACAGTGCAAATTAATGTCTATTAGACATTAATTTGCTCTTCCCATGACCCCCCCTCCCCCCCTCTTGCGTTACGTAATTTATGGACGGCCCCTAATAAGTATATTAACAATTTGTTTAATTTGATTATTACCTAATTTGATTTAAAGGTTTTCTAAATAGAATAATTAATATATTACGTTATTTCTACGTACATAACCCATTTAACCAGCAATACAATAATTAAAAAACCCATAATTATTATGTACATAATCCATAAATTACGTAACGCAAGAGGGGGGAGGGGGGGTCATGGGAAGAGCGTTACGAATTGTTATGTAGGGGGAGGGGGGTATAACAAATTTGTTACGTAACGCATTTCATAAACGCGATTAAAAATCGGATTGAACTCATGTCATCCAGAAGGTTTCAGTGTACGCATGTAAATACGTTTTTCATTATGGTGCTCACATTAAAAGAAGAGCAAAATTCTTGCCTACTTGTAAACCATCATTCCTCCACAGTGACCTCGGAGGGCGATGGTGTGACGTAAGTTTCACGATTAATTGAGCCTTACCTTTACGATGAGAATTTGATCGGAATTTGCCGATCACCTGAGCCCCAACGAGGTCACTTAGGCGCCATGATGGTTGTCAAGAATTGTACTCATCTATTAATGGTCGTACGATAGTTTTCCGGGTGCAACTTGACAAAAGGTTCCATTGTGAGTCTTGGTAAACGTTGAGAGACCTGTCAGATTTACAATTTCCATTTCTTGTCGAATATGATTTCGGGTGTTCTTGAACAAGAAATTCACAAAATTCTAATTTATCTAGCAATTTAAAAGAAATAGAAGCAATAAAAGCGACATTTGTCTACACAGCCTGGAACAAATGAAAATTTTGAAAGTTACTGTTAAAGAAATTACCTGCGGTGAAATCAAATTTACGTTACGTTACGAAGGGGGAGGGGGGGGGGGTAGTCGAGAAGCGTTACGATGCCGTTACGATGGGGGAGGGGGGTCTAAAAAATGATGATTTTTGCGTTACGTAATTTATGGACGGCCCCTAAGCATGAATTTTAGGTCTTGAATTTGAACTTTTTGTACCAAACGTTTCCTGCCACAAAAATTACTTCAAAAGAAGTAAATTTCCTAAATGTTCCACAATATTATTTCGCTTCTGCCAAAATAAGGTTGGTGATTTGATCCACACAAAAACTTCCAATTATCATGGGTGTCCTACTCTCAAAATAATTGGTCGCACCGATCCGCACTTTTAGCGGGGAACAACTTTGCAACCGTCGCATCGACAATTTCATATTGCTACTTTTCCCCACAGAAAAGCGCCAATTATAAATAAGATTTCGCGATCCTTCGTACGCATCTCCCGCGCTTTTGAATTCGGTCAGTAGGCACATCACCCCGTTGACGGTGAGCTGAGCATGGATACTGTACAGCGCGAAGGAGACTCGACCATAAAAGCGGAGCAGGGTGTACCATCCGATGATGAGGATCGTCGTCCAGGCGAAAATCATCGTGGGCGTGATGACGTGTGACATGCAATAATTCACCAGAGTGGTGTAGACTTGATAGCGACGATAATATTGTAGCGTAACTTTTTCGAAGTAGGCGGTTTTAGTTCTGTAGAAAATTAAAAAAGTGCGTTCTGAGAAATTTTACAACATTTTCGAAGATTAGAGTTTCCAATGCATAAGCAAAAATTGCGCTACTTATTTCACCCAGCAATATTTTAAAATTTCACGTAAATTCTGAGAATTTCACATTAATTCCGAAAACGTAAAATAAATTATAAGAATTGAGAAAGCATTTCAAGGAATTCAATCTGAGAAATTTCAAAACAGAGTCTTTGAGGCATAAGCAAAACTTGATCTACTGATTGCAACCTGCTACATATATTTAAGAATTTAACGTTAATTCTAAGAATTTAACATCTGTACATACCGAAAACTTAACATAAATTACGAGAATTGAGAAAGCACTTTAAGAAATTTAAAATTATTAGCATTATTCGAGCATTAGCTTTATTTTATCCCAAACTCCAACTTACTTTGCCGCCCATACCATAAACGTCTTCAAGGACAAGGCGACGTAAAACATGGTCGCTAAATTCGCCATGGCGCCAGTAGCGATCAACTGGTACCAGAATACAGTTTCGAGCACCCCGGAAATGAGGATGATTGTGAAATCCTCGTCCCCAGAGGGCGTCCAAGTCGTCGAGTTACAGGCGAGCAGGTTCCACGAAATGAAGATGGGTTCGCACGGGTTGACCATGGAAAACATGCCGGCCGCCGGGGGAAGAGATGCAATGCACCAGTACGCCGAATATGTGTGAATCTGCCAAATCTTGCCGAAAAACCCTTTCGTGTATACCGTATTCAATCCTGGAATTCAGGTATTTAGCACAATATATAAATTCCATATTTGTTTTAACAACAGAAATGTAGAAAATTTGACATTATCTATCTAAATTGGGTAAACTCATCTTATACGAAAGAAAGTTTATAATTCAACACGAGTTTGTGTACACTCAAAATAATCTGGTGTCAATCCAGCGCGGTGAAGTCACATATAGACACCGCGCGGTGTTAATTGCCCGCATTAACACCGCGTGGTGTCTATATGTGACAACACCGCACTGGATTGACACCAGTTTATTTTGAGTGTAGAATTAAAAACGATAAAAAAAACTTTGAACAAATTTGGCTTAATGCTCGGCTGAATACGTAGCTGTATGCGCAACGATTTATGCAAAATCTACAGAAATTGTACACATGCTTCTGCAGAATATATATGCCCTATCGAATTTTTCTGCAAAATTGTGCAAAATACAAACGCACAATGTAATGTGTATCGAGCTTTTGTCGCTTGTTGCAGAACTAGACAGTGATTTCACCTCGAGTAAATCTTTTAAATACGTGAAAAATAATTTTTTCATCTTTTAAGTTATATCCAAACCATCTTAACTATTAGAAAAATATCCGGAAGTGCACCTCCTTTTGAAATATACATAGTTTTATACTAATATTTACCTTCATCTTCCGCCTCTCTCTCCAGCCTATGCGCCTCATTCATCATCTCCACCGTTTCCTTCGCCTTCCTCGTCAACTCAAAACGGAACAAGATCGTGCACATGATGGGCCCCAGCCACCCATAGTCCAGCAGCTTGTTCGTCATGTCATACTCGCCGGAAGGACCCCTCTGCAGCCCTGCCATCCTTAACACAAATCCCGTCAGAAAGTGAGCCGTTCTTCCGAAATAAAACCAATACATCGTCTTTGTCACGACCCGTCTCAACTTCCCCTTAACTTCGGCGACCTTATCCTCCTCCCACGATATTTTGAAGGGTACGATGCACAAGGCACAGATCACTTCCAGGGTGAACAGATTCATTTTATAGGCTCTCGTTAACAGAGCGTTTTTCAAGCGAAAAAGAACGTGGCGTTTAAAAAAGCCCATTTTGTAAGTTATGGATTTTTTTCAGAAATATGAACTCTTAGAAAATGCTATCCGATATTACTGTCTTGAGTGCACGTTTCGCTCTACCGGCATGGTAATTAGGGTTTAGTAAGGCTATAGTAATGAAAATTTACCACTAAGATAAAAATTACTACCAAATCGGTACAAAATTTCTACCAGTACGGAGTACCTATGTGATTCTACCCTTTTTTACAGTGTGTTAATAAATTTCCTTTAAAAGCAAAAACTACCCGTGTAACGGATACTTTCCCTTACTTAACTGTTACATCAGCCAGTAAGTTAAGCAGCCAGGAATATGTGACAATTCAGTTTTTGATTTGTAATTTAAAGTGTAATTTCTAAAATAAAGTGAGACGTCAAGATCACATTTACCCAATTAAACCTTTTTTCATCCATAAATCCCTCGATTGTACCGATGCACGCGAACTTTTAAGCACTATTCCTTCCCCGTTTTGTAACCCGGCCCATATTAATTTTAATTGGCAATTATTCTCCTGGGACTTGTTCTCTTCAAATGGACATGTTTAAGTGTCACCTACATACATACATACATAAATATGCCTTTAATGCCGTGAAGCTATGTACATAAAAGTGTGTCGGTATGGAAATACATGTTTCGACTCCTCTCTATTACGTAAATACCTGTGTACATATGCGTATTCGGTTGGGTTAGGTGTTTCGTTAAAATTGTAGCGCTTCTTCTCGACAAGAAAAGGGTCATGTTACGTGCAGCCCGGGAGTGAAGCTGGTGGTAAATCCTTAATGAGGGACCAATTCCCATTTTGGCCTTTGAACTGGTTCGTGCTGCAAGTAGAGTGGCCACGTTTTAAAATTTATGAGAATGCGACAACCTTTACCTGCAAATGGCTAGTTTAACAACAAATGCGGGTAAGTAAGAGGGTATGTAAATAATGCAGACACCTGCCAATTGAGCCACCTGACCTACAACTTCTGCAATTTTCTATGATATAACTAGGTTCTCAAAAAAGAGAAATCGTAATGATACATTAACCGCTATAACAATTTCATCACCGGTAAGGGAACTAATTGGCCCCATCCATATTTGCCTAATCAACCACTACTCTATGCCTGCCCGACTTCAACCAAATCCAAAGTTTATGTATAACCTGTACATAGTTTATATACCAGTGGTGTCTGTCTGTCTGTCAATCTGTCCTTCCGACCATAGCTTCTCTTATCAAAATTGGTACGGATTTATGATTGTCATGTGAAAATACAACTCGCAACTACAAGTATGCTACTCGATAAGGGTTTACTTGTTAAGAATTGTCAAAAAATTACCGCAACGGAACATTGACGAACATATGTATTTACCATATCTCTAAAAATCAAAAATGTTTCCTAAAATTAATGATTAAAGACGCCAAAGAAATACGTAAAATATAAATATTCTACTATTCGAAGCTTGAATACGGGATTTCTAAAGTTAGCAAACGTTACAATCATCTTAAAATGGAAACCACCCTTCCAGAATAAAACTCCTCCCAGAAAACTCAGAATGGCGATCCCGATGAAGATAAAGAATAATTGAAACGCTACAAAAAGATTTCCCATTGCCCCAATATCATCCTGCTTTGATACAGGATTTTTCCGAACATCCGCTTCATCCACTAATTTCCAGAGGCTCGTGTACAAAAGGAAAAGTCCGTTGGCACTTATCCTTGATCCACTTACCCTAGATAATTATTAAACAAATAATTATCTATGTACCCATTTAGAATCGGTTCTCTCAGAAATGTTGCAGCAATGTCGGAATATCCGCCTAACTTTGTGATCCCAAGAAATAGTGAGAGTAAAATACACGCAAACCAAATCCATGGGTCAATAATAGTGAAAAACTTTGAGATTTTGAGGGACAACAATGTCGGATTTTTCTGGCAGTAAAGCATATAATAATCCAAAGTTTTTTCAATGTGATATTTATCCCCGATTTCTAGACGCAAGTCTTCGGATTGTTTGCCAATTTTAAACTTTGAGAATTTGTTCGATACATCGTTACGAAGACAATCATTAAGAATAAAGGAATGTACAGGGTGGTTAAAATGTCACGGTACAATGAACAATTTTTTGATGGGAAAAAATCTTAAATCTCCATTAGTTACCGAAAATTTGTCTCTGAAATTCAACATTTTAGGAATTTTATCATCAGTGTTCCATCAGTTTCGATAATAATCAATAAAAATCTCAATCCCAAATCTTGTATCTAATGGAGATTTACAGGTTTCCCATTGAAACATTCTCTATTGTAGCGTGACATTTTATCCACCCTGTGTTTAAATATTTTAATTAACTAAATTTGCGTTACCGAGATGCAGAAAATGTAAAATTTAGCCTCCTCTTAAGGGCCTGCAATGCTCCGTATCCCACAAAACAGGGTGACCCGGTGGACACAAAATAACGAAGATTTTCACAATCAAAGTTTTCAATATAATACGCCCAACTGGAACGTAGCGGTAATTTGAACAGATTCTGATTGTAGTCGAACAATCGTCTGGATTTGATTAACTCGTCTCCGGATGGAAACTTTGAGGCGATTTGTCCCTCTTTTTCAGGGAACATTTCCCAACCTTTCACACCTGAATAGTGTGACGGATTGAATAACACTGTACTCATCATGACATCTGCGTCTAGTTGTCCAAAATCTAGTTTTATTAAATAGATTGGCACAGTATAAGTGCACAGTTTAGCGAAAAAGTTGGAAGTCCTTGCCAAATCGTTGTAACTAAAGGTTGAAAATACCATGAATAATACGACATTCCTTTGAAATCCCCAAATGTTAAGATGATAAAAAATCAAATTCTTATCGCCAACTTCATAAAATATGACGATTTCGATACAACTTGTCTTCCAGAATGGAAAAGTTTCTAAATTAATTGCATCTTCGGAATACAAGTGTTTCACGGCAATCCCGCTACGATGAGCGAACAATAAGTGGTGATTGTACTGTAAATTTAGCAATGGAACGAATGGAAAAGTTATTTCGAGCTCTTGCATTAAACTGACTTGTAGTAAACACATGGGATTGTGGTTGAAACTTGTTAAGGGAACAACACCGTGTATAATCGAGTTTGTCAGAAATATTGAGGGTATTCATTTCGAGTTCGCATCGTTGGCAACGTTCGCAAAAAAATAAAGTTCGCAAGTTCGCAAAACAATTTGGCTTGAAAATTGATTTGCGAACTTGCGCATCTCCAAGGCTAGTATTTAGTTCGCAAAATATTTTTCACAAATTTCGCAATGGGAAAAGTCCATAAATCTCCATTAGTTACCAAAGTTGTGCCATTCAAATTTTTGAATTTTCTTATTTGGTAAATTTCAGATGCAAAATTTCGGTAACTAATGGAAATTAACGTATTTTTCCCATTGCAAAATTCGAGACATTTTAATAAAATTTTACGAACTTTTTCATTTGCGAAGTGTCTTCACTTCGTTGCTTCGCAAAATTCGCAATGTCGAAAAAGTTATGTTGCGATGCGAACATGCGAACTCGTAATGAATACCCTCAATATGAATATATTTTTCACCATTTTGACATATTATGTACCGTGTGTATCATGTACTGCAAAATATGTAGAAGTTAGCCACGAAAATATATTTGCCTACGTGCCAAGAAAAATATAAGCCTAGTGGCAAAAATGCCAAAATATTGTCAATATTAATGAGCTAGAATAATCAGAACTCCGCCGTAGGATAAGATACATAACTTGGTTTTATGTTGAATTAATGGAAACGACTAATTATGTATGTACGTCGGGCTTGCTTCAATTTTTAATTCAACCTTATCAAAAATACGCACGCATATGTATGCCAATAAAAGGTCAATTAAAATGACACTTTCGACCTGTGTTGTAGGGAAACTGCTTAGGAAACTTTGGGTGAAAACCGTTCTCAAAAATATTCACGCGTATCTTACAATGATTCCTTTTTTCAAGCTACACCACCATTTTCTGGCGAGTTATATCAAAAGTGCAAACCAAAAATTAGAATCGTACTTCATTAATCTTTCTGTGTACTGACCCGTTTGAGGGAAATTATTACGGGACCAAGTTCACATGTTCACATGTTCACATATTTTGTATGGATTGTATGATTGTATGGATTGTACAATCCCGAACTTGTATGGATTGTCGACTGAAAATCTATGCACCGATTCACATCCCCATTTTTCGCTTTTCACAAACCGCTCCGTCCCGTATGTATGTAGTTGCATTGTAATTATAAGACAAAATTCAAATCCAAAAATTTCCGTAGGTTTTCAAGCTGATTTTAATTTCCACTATTGCTACACAGATTTGTTTATTCGTCGCCGCACAAAGTGCAGGAGTCAGAATTATGTACGCTAATTAATTTTTGCATAACTTGATGGCAATATCAGCAAATATGCACATATATACATCCATCCATCCAGATACATATACATAATATATGTATGTGTGGCAATACGCAACTATTTAAAAAACCGAACTGATGTGAATTGAGAAAATATAATCTGGTACAGACTACAATTTTGCATTTCAAATCAAATGCAGCTTGAAAACATATTTTGTACCTTATTTCCTATTTTCATTTACATAATTACAGATTTATTTTAACCCCAAATTTTAGGCACATATGTACCTACATACATTTGAGCTTCATAAGTCAACTAAATCGCAGTTATATATGAATACTTGTACATAAATATGTGTATACATGCAAACTTATATGTATATAAGATTGAGTATGTATGTAGCTACATACTCAATCTTTCGAGCATCCGTGTAGATACATATTTAATTCAATCTCTACTTACATACATACATATGTACATATCTGCATAGCAATAAAACTTGTGTGTGTAATCACACCATTATTTTTCCATACAGCTTATTCTTCACCGGACAGTCAATTACAAAGACATACATCTACGGTCAACTTATCTACATATTTACTTGCTCTGCAAATGAAGCGTCACAATCAGTAAATACTCGCATTCAACATTGCATCGATCCTCTTTACGTAGTTCTGCTTGTTTCCCCTACTCTCTTCTTTTTTGCTGTTTGCTTCACACTCAATCCTGCCACTGCACTCCACGCTCTATCCCACTCATTTTATTCCTACTTCTTTATTTGTCCCCATTCTCCTCTCATCTCCTCAATACTCACTTCCAGCATATCCATCCATGCTACACTCTGCAGAAAAGTGCTTGCAGCTGGAATGGTAAAATATCTACGCGTATAAGAGTGCAGGGAACAGAACTGTGAATGTAAAACAGCGAAACAGTCACAATTTAATTGCAAAACGTAAAAAGCTGCGAAACAATTTCATAAATTAAAGGAACATTGCACAAGATAAAGTACGGCGTAGCTGGCATATCAAAGTGAAAGGAAAGGTTAAAGGAAAAACGGGAATATGTAAGTGAAAAGAGCGGAATAAAATAATAGAAATTTTTAAACATGTACAAAATTTGTAATTTAAAATTATGGATTGTAATTATTTGTAGAATGGATATAAAAGAGATCACAGGAAGGGTGTGGGTGGTGTTAGTATCGCAGGACGAGAAGAAATTGGCGGATGAAAAATTACTCAAAATCTCATCCCCCCCATTATTGCCCCCGCCCCCGCCCCCAACGACAACGTCTGGTAAGGGAAATCTTGTAATCATTATGTATTAAACAATTCATTAACCTCTTAACCACGAAGTGCACACATTTTTGTATTAAATACAAAAATGTGTGCCTTCGTGGTTGAGAGGTTAATGAAATAATATTTCATTCTTCCAGTAACGACCAAGACAAATACATATGTGTAATGTGTACTGCATAAATTACCTTTGCACCAAGATTTCTAAATAAGAGTATGGCTTTGGTATTTTGTAAAAACTCTATCATGATGGAAAGTGAATTTTGTGCGATATTTTGATTGATAAGTTGATTTTTCCTGGTTTATATCCTAATCTGTGGTTTGCGCTAAAAATTTGTTTACTAGTTGAAAGTTTTAAGGGCAATTATCAAATCCACATCTCACTGAAGGGTATTTTATTTAAAAATCAGTAGTACCATAGAGGTTAATAATATGTAAATACATACAAACGCAATGTAGCAAAAAATGCAACATGTTTGACCTCTTTACTCACACCATGACCCATCTTCAAACTTGTCCGTCACAAAAATTAGACAATGTTAAGACACCGAATCTCGAAATACGAGTCCGGTCTAAAGTTATCGTCGGACAGACGGACAGACGGGGGCAACCAAACAATTGCAATTTATAAAGTGATTTTAAGCCCTTATGCATTTATCCATTTGTTTGTTTACAGAATATTTTTGTGATGACACGATCGACATCAAAGTAGAAGTACTGCCAATCGTGGAGCACATGGAATTCATCCAAAGCAGCCACGATGACCAACCCGACCCCACGGACCCACTCGCAATAGATTTCGGTAAACTTACTTACAAAGTTTATAATGATATTAATGAGAAATAACAAGATATAACAACCCCCAATGTTTCATTAGTTTAATAACGAATTTCATAATAATGTTGCGCCAGATGGCGAGTTTTTGAACAAAATATGATATCTGAAAATCTCATAATGGGGAAAATTCTTCCATAAAAAAGTACCGACGATGTAAAAAATAAATATTTGATTTGCAACTCGGCCATTCTGCGTGCCCATATTACAAAAGAGCGTTCCTAAGGGGCCGTGCATAAAGCATGTGATAAATTTTAGGAAATTTTGACCCTTTGATGTGATCTATATGCCCCATGTTATACATAATTAACATGGGAAAGATAGCAGTCTTGACCCTTACCCCCCAAAATCGATCACATATTTTCTGCACAGTCCCTAATCAAATATTACTCAATTGTGCAACCCTTCTCTTCTCAAATTAATTTGTATATTATTCTCACCGATCGTGGGTTCGGAAATTAGTCAATATTTTGAGAATCCTTTTCTATCAATTTCCAATAGTTTTTGAAAATTTGATAGTTTCCAGGAATTTTTATGACTGTTATTGATTTCGAAACTGACAAAAATTCTGAAATTCAAATTCCGGATAATTAATTTTTTTACAAATCAAGTAAGTCCAAAATCCCCCAAATTATGGCATGACGAAAAATAAAAAAATCGAATATGTACTAATTTTTTATGGCAATAAAAATTGGTCACTTAGATAGAAATCTGGGTTTTACACGTTAAAGACCTGCATTCTGAGTGAACTTAGCACAACGGAACGCATTTGTTGCCTCAGCAATGATTTACAATTTGTCCGATAATTTCATGCCATTTTAACTTATCTTAAACATTTCAGAAAATTCTTCCACCTGCACCTCCAGCATCTCTCAAGATTACGTCAACCTCACCCCGTCCGACCCCTTGAGCCCACCCGCACCCCCACCCAAGCCAAAACCGAAACCATACCCTTGCCCTATCTGCCTTTCCGTCGAAGTCGATCGCGCCTTCGCGAGACCTTCTCTCTTGCGCGCTCACCTCAACTACCATAAACGCGTCGGTCGCGCAATCCTCACCGGCGTGGGGGTGCGAACTTCCTCATGCAAAGATGGGGTGTTCACGTGTCAAATTTGCAATGGGCGTACTTTCACTACAGCAAAAGAGTTTACAGGCCATCGAAATTTCCATAGTTTTTTGAGAAAGAAATACGGAGAAGACAGACCTATCCGCACCAAGGGAGAAATGTTCTTGTCGAGTGCGATCCCAATACAGGTAAAGTCTTGACTAATAAAATGGTCAATCTCAATTAGGGGACGTCCATGAATTAAGTAGGGGAAAGGGGCGGGGGGGGGCTAAGGCTCTAATGATATCATGCCTATGTTAGTAACATAATGTTACACATGTCAATGGGGTCTAGAAAATCGCGATTTTTGCGTTACGTAATTTATGGACGGTCCCTTATGCAAAGAATTTCAGACAAATATTGCATTTCAGTAAAAATAGTCAAAATCGGAATTTCCAAAGATACAAAAATTACATTTCTAGAAACTACAAAAATTAATATTTGAACAATTAGTTGGAGTTATTTTGTCGAATTTCGTAAAACTTTCGATTATGGTTGTAGATAAAAAAAATTACGAATCTTTTGGTGCCTGTGGCATCTGAATATTTTTTTTTCATTATCGAGACTTTCGCAAATTTCGGCCCCTAAGAAAGGGGGGGGGGGTGCGTCAAATCAAATCATTGGCACGGTTGGAATCAAAAAAATCATCTCTCTAAACTGCAAATCTGAGTAAATTCTTCTGTCCCTCGAAATTTCGGTTTGGATTATTCTTACTCATTTATGACATTAAAGCCAATATTTAAATAATAATTTTGTTTGATTTTTCCTGCAGGAAAAGTACACCTGCTTCTATGCCAACTGCCAAAAGGAAATTGACGACCGCACAAAATTCTTAGGCCATTTGAAATTCCACCGCCGGAAAGAACGCGAAGGTCGGCCAGATTCGTCAAACTTACAACAGCGACGCTCTTCCATTCCTCGCTTGGAAGAGTACAAATGTTCCAAATGCGATAAGGTGTACCCAGGAAAATCTCGAGATGCTTATCGCTACCATATGAGACGCCATGACGAATTGGAGAAAGCGGAAGAAAAGAGAAAACTCCGAATGGAACGGTTGCGCCCCGACATTCCGATGCAAGGCTCGTATTTTTGTGAAATGTGCCAAAGGACGTTTACGGACAGACTGCAATACGTAAATCACTTAAGGGCCCATGCCCGCCTGGCCAGGGACGGGATGGACAGACCAATTGCGGAGAAGAAGGAGAGGAATGACCAAGATGACGATGGGGAGGAGGAAGACGAGCAAGATTTGTATTGCCAGACTTGTGATAAGAATTTCAACGATAAGGGTAAATTTAGGTGAGCAAATATATTTTTTTAAATTTTCGAAATGAAAATTAGTTAAAAATTTAAGCAGTGTCTATTGTGACATAAAAAGGTTTTGTAACGTTTAATACCCACTAAAAATCCGGAAAAGTTTTTTAAAATGCATTAAAACGCGCAAAATCTAGTAGTATCTACCCACCGTTGTAAGAGATTGTGCTACTTCATAATGTTTACCAAAATCTCGGGAGTTAATTATATGCAGTTTTCATACCCGAAGAGAAACCTTAAGGTGCGTTTATGCTTCACGTTATCGTCACATTCTCCTCCAAATCCGATTATTTGATTGAGTAAAATTTTTAGTTGTCGTAGTCTGCCAATCAAAAAATCGGATTAGAAGATAACGTGAAGTATAAACACACCTTTATCCTCGGATTTCTGCGCATTTTACGTACTATCGATGCATAAAAATAATGGATAATGTGTTCGCACAAAAGGAAACGCTGGCTCAGTTTTTCTCAAGTACTCCGATGGAGAGCGCATCAAAATCTCCGATCGCACTCAAACTTTTTATACTAATTCTTTATGGGATGAAAAATATTACCCCAAACGCATTTTTCGAAATTTCAATTTCTGACGAAATTATGACAAATTTTAAATTTCGTTTTTTTATTTTTTCTCTCAAATTACGAATAAACCATCCATCAAAACCATATACTTTCCTATATCATTGTATTCCTAATTTCATTAGGACCCAATTCGTGCATTAAAATTTTTCTATTTTTTAAAATTTGAAAAAAGATAATGCTAAATACTGCTAAATTGAAAGTCAATTCACACAAAACGTTTTGCATTTCCCGAGGTCAAATTTTAGAAAATAGATGCCTTTGACTTTCTAGAATAAGATAAAAAAAAATTGACATCGGGAAATGAAAACGTTTTTTAAAATTAAAATTTTAAAAACTCAGAAAACTTATAATAGGCTCTTACGTGGCGCTTGTACAATAAAATCTAAACGCTTAAATGGCAGGAAATTAAGTGTCGTAATCTCCATTTCACGTTATTGGAGTACATTACCCGAACGAGCCGAATTATTTTATTTTTTGACACCAGATATATTTATTTTGGCGTTTAAATTATTCGAAATTGAATTCGAAATTGAAATTGAATTTCGTATGATTTTCACGCCAGAATAAAAATAACAGGTGTAAAATAATAAAATAATTCGGCCCGTTCAGGTAATGTACTCCATGTGATGAACTCAAATAGTGTGAACATTTCACGCCACTGGGGAAGTTGAGCTGTCTCAATTACCCCATGACTTTGAGTTTTATAGAGTACTTGAGAAAAACTGAGCCCGCTGTCTTAAATATTCTACGCCGGGTTACGGTACCTGCTAATTTTGAAAATGCTGAATTTTTATTTTAGGGGCCACATGTCTTACCACCGCCAACTCCAAGCAAAAGGTTGCGATCGCCCTATCGCAACGCCCACTTCATCCTCCACCTGGAAATCCGAAATCCCCCACAACCTCCCCTCCTACACCTGTACCACCTGCCCCGACCGCTCATTCCCCACCCGCGACTCCTTCATTTCCCACCTCATGATTCACCGCAGTCTAAAAAAGAAAGGCTGCGACCGTCCCGTCCTCAGCAAAGAAGAATGGTCCAAGCAAAACCGGAAGCAATCCTCCTGTTCCGTGTGCTCTCTAGAGTTCGAAAGCGTCCGAAAACTAAACGAGCACGAAAAACAAGTCCACCCAAACCTTGAGCCTAGTCCGCCCCCCAGAGAACGCATCGACACGTGGAAACACCTCGTTCCCGAGCAGGACACCCCGTACACCTGCCAAATTTGTCCGGAACGTCTCTTCCCCGACCGGGACGCCTTCATCGTCCACTTGAAGCATCACAAATCCCTCCAAAAGAAGGGCCAAGACCGCGTCATTTTATCAAAAGAGCAGTGGAACGAACACCGCAAACAGATGAAACTTTTCCCCAATTCCAACCCAACGCCCCGAACTTCTTCACAATTCCATTGTTCCACCTGCTCAAAAAACTTTTGGAAACGTGTCACCTTTCGAAATCACATGCGGTATCACGCCATCCTCCTCAAGAAGGGGCAGGGGGACAGGGTAATCCAGCCAAGGCAGCGGCACTGGAAAGAAGAAGTGCCTTATCTGGACGAATACAACTGCGATAAGTGCCCAGAACGCAGGTTCGCCGATCGGGAAGGGTACATCAGGCATTTGACGTATCACAAAGTCTTGGAAAGAAAGGGGAAAGGAGGAAAAGAGATAAAGAAACGGTTTAAAAGAGAGGAGATTGAAAAAACTGGGAAAAAATGTGATATTTGCGAAAGAGTTTTTCACACGTGGAAAACGTACAAAGGTCACATGGCGTACCACACGAGGATCAAGAAGATTACTGGACAAGATAGAAAAATTGAGAAGAAGGAGGAGCTAACAGAAAGAACGAAAATTAGTTTAAAAACGGGAAAAAGTAAGACTTTAGTGGAAGATTTGATCGGGGTTTTGGAACAGTTTGGGTGTAGTTGTGGGGCTAAGTTTTACTTTAAGGATGCCCTATCGCACCATTTGCAACAAGCGGAAAAGAATGGAAATACTGATTGTAAGGAGATTGTGGTTAAGAAGGAAGTTCCAGAGAGGGAAGAAATCCAAGGACAGCGTTCTGTAAAGGCGGAAGAGGTTAATAATATAGAACATATTGCAAAATTAATTGTGTCAGCACCAATAGCACACGAGGTGAAAGTAAATGTACGTGAAGATGGAGGTGAATTAGAAGAACATTGTCCTGAAAATGAAATTCAGGAAAATTTTTCGGAACATGAAATGGAAGAAATTCCCCATGAAACTGAAATGCAAGAAATTGCCCATGAAAACGAAGTGGAAGAAGATCCCCTTGACCATGAAATGGAAGAAGATTTCGAAAATCACGAAGTTTCCGACGACTTTGAACATCTCGCGGAAGAGACGACAGATGATACTGTTGTGGGAGGAAACGACATTAAAATTGAAATTAGTAAAGTGAATCAATTATATCAGCAGCTACCACAAGAAAATCATGAAGCCAGTGATGAGTGTGTTGAGGATGAGGACGAATCGATGTCATTCTTTTACAAGTGTCAAACTTGTGAAGCGGATTCTCCTTCATTAACGGAATATTTGAGGTGAGAAATTTAGAGTTTAATGATAAAAACTTAAACGGACTTGGGAAGAATGAGTCACCCATTTCAGTAAAAATATGGAAGTTAAAGCCAAGTACTCAGGAAGGGTTTTTTAAGCAAAACGGAATGTTTTTTGCTTCGTATTAAATTACTCGCTCCCATGAGTTGCATACTTGATTTTCACTACAATGAATACCAAATGGGAGGAATTTTTTAAATCAACTGTAAAATATTGCAGTTTTTTAGCGTTTTGACGAGAGTTTAGTCGGTTACACATTTTTCTAATACATCCGAGCTACATCCAAATTTTTTCACGAAAAATGTCCGTCCTAACCGAATCTTTCAGTTGAAAAAATATACAAGCGAATCGAATTATTCGGGTAGGTTCGGAAGTCGGAGACTAACCGATTCAATTCTGGCTTTGCTAACATTTTAAATTTGAAGAATGTTTCCTGACTACTTGGCTTAAAGTCGCAGTCAACTAACAAAAATACTAATTTATGTCTCTCCAATTATCAGGCACCAATTTCTCAACCACTTAGTTGACCAGACGACTCCTCTGCCCTGTCCATTTTGCGCCGCACAATTTCTTTTGGGGTCCGCGCTTTTTCTCCACTGTAAAGAGGAGCATGGAGAAATATATTTAGTGACAGAATTCACCGTTGCCTGCCCGGCCTGTGCCGACATCATCCATGTTACTTGCAATAATAATGAAGGCACTCAGATGGAGCTCCACTTCAAACAATATCATCCAACTATGGTGTGTCGCATGTGCGGAAAGTTCGTATCCAATCAAACCCACCTCAATAAGCACATTGTAGCGGAACACTTGAAGAAAAAGAAGTGAATATTGTAAGCAATAATATATGCAAAATATTGTACAGTACGAGAGTAAGACGAATACACGACCCCATGAATAGAGTTCGCTGAAAAATCAACTCTTTCGAAACAAGAAAGAGAAGAAGCTAACATTTATATTCACCAACAACAGAAATTGGGGAAGACGAAAAGGGAGGATTTCAATTTTAAATGACTTAGGGAATTTTCAAATGCATTTTTTTGTTTTCCAAAAAATTATGTACTGCTTTTCACCAAGACTGTTTTCCCATATTCTGCCACCAATTCATTCAATGATTTAGGTTAGAGAAACATTAATATCTAAAATTTGGAACTATGTACAGGCATATGTACTATGTAAAGAAATTTTGACGTGCATGCATATTTATAATAAAAATTCTCGAAATACAACTGAGAAAAAATTATCGTAGAATATTTACTTACATAAACTTTTACTCAATAAAGCTCAAAACAAGACTTGCTACTTTTTAACTGAAAATGTAAAATTTGCAAATATATTAATTTTAATTATAAATCATGTGAAAATAGAACAATCAAATTGAAAAGTTAAACAATTAGACTTCGGTAATGGGAAGAGATAAAAAAATTTAGTCGGTTTTCAATTTTTACAAATAATTAGTGTTATTACTTATGCAAAAGGTTTAGACTGAGTTTCTAAATAAATTCCAATAAAATGTACTTAAACAAATTGCTCTCTTTTTGAAATACTTAATTTTTGCATTTAAAGAGTTTTGATGTTATGCAATACATATGTTGTACTTATTTATACAGCAAAAAGGAAAGATATCGGTAGGATTTCATGTTTCAATCTAACCTTCCAAGTCCTGCTTGGACACAGTGTGGATATTCTGACTTTAATGGTCACATTTTTTATTGCGGACCCTGAAATGCAATTTTATCAAAATACTAAACCCTTGGCTGAGTCACAAATCTGTATTTAGATACATATTTACTTATCAATCATGCATGTAAGTAAATACATACATATGCACACAGGACTCTTTCACACTTACAAATTCATTACGTTATTACTCAATGAAAATCTGGAATACCTTAGATGAAAACATGATACAACAAATCTTTGACGAAAATTTTTATTTAATGCGCATCCGAGAAATATCGAGAAATGTGCGAACTCGTACATATTACGGAAGTAGCCGTGGACGGCGTTTGTAAGCATAATTTTCTTTAGACTTAATTAATTTCTGTATTTTCAATATCTTTTTTTAGTGTAACTGGATGCAAACCAGTAATTAACTTGATTAAGAAATAGCACATGAAGATATCACTACCACTACTGAGGAGTAGAAGGTCACTACTTGTCGGGCCCCGATTTCGATCTCCTTTGGATATGTTGCAGCACTACATGAGTGTAGAAAAAGTGAAGGAGGGTTAGACTCCATGAGCCCATTTACGCCCGCCACACCCCCTCGAAGGCGCCCAAACCCCCAGAGTTGCCGGACTAAAATCATCGCCAAAAATCGAGTTTTGATCAGATTTTCAAGAAATTTACATTTTTGTGATCCCAGATAGTTGCTCTATCATATCCAATAGCAAACTCAATTTTTTTGAAATTTCGAATTTTTTCAATACATACCCTTGGTCAGAAAATCTTCGAAAATATTGAAAATTTCAAAAAAGTTGAGTTTGCTATTGGATATGATAGAGCAACTATCTGGGATCACAAAAATGTAAATTTCTTGAAAATCTGACCAAAACTCGATTTTTGGCGATGATTTTAGTGCGGCAACTCTGGGGGTTTGGGCGCCTTTGAGGGGGTGTGGCGGGCGTAAATGGGCTCATGGAGTCTAACCCTCCTTCACTTTTTCTACACTCATGTAGTACTACAACATATCCAAAGGAGATCGAAATCGGGGCCCGACAAGTAGTGACCTTCTACTCCTGACGGTAGTCGACATCCGTGAAAAAGATTTTGACCTTTAACATCTTTGGCACTAGTAGAAATTTTGAATTGAAAGTTTTACGATTTGTTCACCTTATAGTCAGCATTATGGGTGCAAAATTTCAATTCGCTATTCTAAATGGCGCCAGAGATATATGCATACGAAAAAATAGTTCTGTTCTAAAACTTTCCAAAACTGCATAAATTTAAAGTTTCAGAATATTTTTAAAACCTTCTAGAATTGTGAATTGTTTATGGAATTTTATGTGGGTGGTACGAAAATTTTTGGCATATATGTGGCTTTCATAAATAACTCAAATTTTCCCAATTTTTTTAAATTCATTACATGCTAGGTGGATTTGTACAAAAAAAGCGTGAATAAAGTTTTTTTTGTGTTAAATGAAATTTTATAAATCACAATAGTTGAACTGTTTTCATGTTTATTATTTTTGCAGTTAGAGGAGACATTACTGATGGTAATGCAAACAGATTTTGGACTACAAATGTTTAATTTCCTGTAATGGAGGTACTTGGGAAAAATTAGCGAAATTTTGACAAATTTTGGGCTGTTATAACTTTTACTCTGAAACTCTACATAGCTATTTTTTATCAAAAGTTAAACTGCATTGTGTACTACAGACAAGGGCTCACACAATTTGCTATTTCCTAACATCTTTATTATCAACAAGTGCTCCATTTGCTTACATCGGCTAATTTATGTCTGGAACAGAAAAAGTTATCACTGTTTTCTTAGGGGTATTGTAGACCGAGTATCTTATTTCCCCAGCTTTTTAACCCTCTCTTTAAAATAATACGTCATTTTTCTGTGTGCGTGCCTTTCACCTTTTTTATGTGAGAGGAAATACTCTCTTCTTTCAGCCTTTGATGGAGAAGCATTGTTGTTCGATTAATTTGTATGAGTGTCGATAATAAATTAGTGTCGTCAGTATTAAAGTCATAATTACACTGTTCTCGAACTGTTTATTGGAGCTCAGCGGAAGAAGTCCGTTTTAATCGAATATTTAGTTTAATAAGTGCATACATACTCTTATCTAGTCCCCGGCACGTTAATACGAAAGGAATCATTAGTACGGGTACTCTTATGTCATTCCTTCAAAGGGGTTAGTTGAAGGTCTGCTTTTTACCCTAGAGCATTGAAATTTTGCACTTACAATACCAACTCTAGTGCCTATTAATTCACAAAATTGCAAGTTGAAATTACTACCAGTGCCAAAGATATTAAAGGTCAAAATCGTTTTCGTTTTCTTTACTACAAAGAAAGGGGGATTGAAAAATCAAAAAAGCTGTGGAACCCACTAGAATCGGATAATTGTTTTCGTCTCCTTTCAGCCCCTGCTATATACCCTCCATATTTTGCAGGACAGGCTTACCTACCACCCAACGAGTTTTTCAAATTTTTAATGGGCGTTTTTCTAGAGTTTCAACGTGAGGTTATGTTTGGTAATTTTTACGTTCCAACAACTCCAGAAATGCACTTTCTAAGTCCAAAACATCCAAGAGAACTGAGCGACTTAAGCGAGAGGAATCAAACTAAGCCCAAAAAAGAAATTTCTGAACGGATTACAGCCGAAATTTTGAAATGTGTAAAAACTGTATGGTGCGCAGGGTCGAATGAGCTCACGCAAGAATTCATGTACCTATCTAGGATCTACTACTGGAAGAGGTGGCAAAGGAGCCGGGACATCTTGAAAGTTACGTTCCTAAGACTAGTATTTGTGGATTTAGACAACTCTAACATTCCCCGTAATTTTCAATCCATGCTTGAATCTGGCATTTGGAGGAGATTGGAAGAAGAACAGTGGGCAAGAGATTTAACTGGACGGGAGAAAAAGGCAAGGGAACATGAACCCGATGGAACTGACCCTGTTGCCCTGAGTGGAAGCATTTTTACTATATTTATTCTCTGTGGAGTTATACTTGGTTTGTCTAGCGTTTGCTTGGGAATTGAAGTTTGCAGAAAAATGTTCCTGTGTATTACTGGAATATATGATGGACTAAAATATCACATTTCTTTATAAGTTCTTAGGTTAGTACGAAGTTGAGCTGCAAAACATTGCAATATGGTACATATCATTATTGTGGATTTGTTAATTTCTCAAATTAAGCTGCAAAATTCGTATTATCATTATGTAAGAAACAAGAATTTCAAATTTTTTCACCCTGACCACACTCTCTGAACTTGGGTGTGCCGGTACTGTCGAAATTGTGTTGACTTTATGCTTTGATGCTAATATTTTTATGCTTTTATGCTAATTATGTTTTGAAATGACACACATAATAATAATAATTGATTTATTGCATCATAGCCAACAGCCTTTGCACATCATAAATGGTTACATAATATTGATAATCGTAAAATTGTAAAATTGTAAAATTGAAATGACACACATATAACAGTACAACACGATAAAAGATGTTAGCAGCGACCTTTGTCCCTAAGAATTAGGGAACATCCGGAATTACGAAAGATGCGGAGGAGGAAAGTTTTAAAATAATTGACAATTGTAATAATATCATATTATTAATATCTAGCTGAATTGCTCCTTTTTCACAGGATTCTATTCGTTAGGAGTATAGGTTGTATTCGCAGAGTAATAATAAGTACGTAAGTATATAAATATATGTGCGAATCGGCACGATAAATTGTTATTGGATGAAATGTTGTCAAGATAAACGTTTCGGGTAATAAACCTTTCAATTTACAAGAGCAACAACAAGTTATACTTTTATATTAAACGATGATTTTTAAGAATGTGCAAAGTGTATTATCTTGTCCGTCAGAAGGGTAACTGACATATGTTTGCATACACTCGAACTGATTCGTTTGATTCATTGCGCAGTTCGAGGAGTATGCATTTTGACAGTTCAAAAGAGTTGAGGCCATGTTTTCTTAGATTACAATTTTATTGAATGAATTTTTGTGAAACCTTAATATTAGAATTCGAGAAACATATTTCGTGTACAATGTAACCACCGCAATTTTAAAGTGTAATTATGAAAGGAAAACAACTTACTTTCAAAGATATAAATTAGCCTTGGTAGACTCTTTCAGGTATTGTTAATACAAATCAGTTAAAACGAATCCTCCAGTGATACCCTAACCTTAATTACAGATATTAGTTCTCACTTCTATAAAACTCAAAAACTCTAATTTCTTTCTTCAGTTAAACATCGAGGTTAGGTACACATGATAAAGTTACTTGAACCAATTCAATATTTCTTTATCTTTTTACGATTCCAAAATAATTCATATAATACTATAAATATAGATGAGGCATACAAAAATACCAATAAATACCCAAACATCACAAAATGATCAAGCCCTACCACATCATTTTCAAATCCAAACGGTGCTTCCACCATTGAAGTATCCCAGATTCGTGCAAGCCATAAAAACCTGGACTTAGAATTCTGGCAAGCTTTTGGTTGCTTGTAATAAACATTTGCCTTTCCGTAAACAAATTTGAACTCTGGTAAGAAATTGGAAAATATACATCATTAAATCTAAAAAGTTTAATTAGGGCATTGCATGCATATTCGTCATCAATGAACACAAATATTTCTTTCAGATGCTGGAAACCAGTGTTAGTTTTAATTCCATGATTCTTGCTTGTATTAAGTGCAAAATCATACCAGGGTGATAAAAACAAAATTGTGCGATCCCTAAATTTCTTTAAGATCTTGTAAATATTAGAATCGTGGGAAGCTCCAATTAATCTTTCTTGCATTATATCAGTGAAAAAAGAGTATATCTCCTTCGTGCC